AGATGACTTCTTCACTGGACACAGCCTTGTCATGGCGGAGTTTACATTGGGTACGACTTCAAGTTTAGTAGCATACTTAAGAAATTTTCCAGGACTTGCACTATGTGACATTCAATTACGTAAGATTCAGATGTGTAATTTAAACACGTGTTTGTATGTGAACCATCAGGAATGCCACAGAAAATATGCTTTAGGCATGACACATGTTTGTTATCTTAATTAAATATTGTTTTAAAAAATAAATGTTTCCCCCTAAACGCCAAGAAGGTTTAATGTGAGCATAGCGGAAAATCTCAAGGAACTCTAATACCGGAGAATTAGATGGTGATGAATAGTCAGCTTCACGCTCTTTACACTTTATCCCTGCGAAACGAGCTTGCGGCAGGGTCGGGATATGAGGCTGATCCAAATGGAGTGAAAAGAAGAATTTCTGAACCTGCTGAGAATTGAAACCCGGCCTTCTAGTTCATAGCTAGCCCCTGGAGGGACTTTCGACTGCAAGGTGCAACATTCGATTCTGGACAGGTGGAGTCCTTCGCATTTACTTTAACCATTCTAAACATGAAGCTCACCAAAAAAAGAGACGAAACATTGTAATATGTACATTCATTGTGGGTGTGTTATGAAGACATTCGTGCTGCAGACATTGGTTAACACCATAGACGATTGTGTTACCTTTCCTTGTAATTGTTAATGCAAACTACACGGAAGAGTGCTTCACATAAAGGGTTATATATTTTAACAATCGAAAATTTACATTATTCGTCTGGCTTAATTTAAAGTTTCTAAACAAACGCATGTGGTATCACCCATCTCATGTGAAGTGTTACTCCGTTCGCAGTTCTCTTTCTGCGTGTATTAGTTTAGTTGTATACGTCCATCATTAATTACCATAATGTAAGCAGTAACAGGGCCCGTTGACGTATTAACTAGAGTGTGTAAGTTATTGCACAGCGATATGCTGTAAACAAACATTTCGGGCTATAATTTCAACATGTTCCATAGATGTCACTATACGCGTCATGTATTGGGTGTGTTCCTCGTGCGGTGTGCCGTCATTAGAAGCTTTACTTCAATGATTCCAGTTTTAGCAACACTCTTCACATTTTCTTCCCTTAATAATTTATCATCAGATGTGGTTATTCACTACTAAAGAGGAAATAAATTAATGTTGGTAGTTCACGAAAGATCATGATATCTTTACGTCTTTAAAACTCGTACTTCATTTTATAAATCTTATATGTAGGATTTGGGTTTCTCACAGCGGTGGTTATCGAGAGTTATGTTTTCTGTGATATAACGCCATGTAGTTGAAAGTCAACCAATGTTTCGGATGAACTTCTCGCCTCCATCTTCAGGGTCGAAGAATAAGCCAAGCATGAAACAAGCGTAAAGCAGATGACATGTTCCTTCGAAACGTCGGTTGACTTTCAACGGACTACACGGCATTATATCTTAGGAGATATAACTCATAATCTTACTTGCCCGTCAGTCGTGGCTACAAAAAGAAAATGTAACATCATGTTTTCTAGTCTTTTCCGCCGTGGAATTGAAAGTACAGTTTACGACCTCAAAACAACCCGACTGGTGCAGCGAAAGTACCACAGCCATAGGACTGCTGTTGGGGCACCGTGTAGAAGGTAAAGTTATCCTGTACTTAATTATATAATTGCGCAATAATTGTTCCATATCGAATTTGAATAATATGTGCCCAGCGCTTTTAAACTATGTCACAGACGGACAGATTGGCTGACATGACTCTACATAGGGAAGGCATGGCCGCGCCATAGCTCAAGAGGTTAGCCGCTGGCTTCTTACCGTGGCGGCCCGGGTTCGATCCCGGGTCTGGTCAAGTGGGATTTGTGGTGGACAGTGTGGAGCTGGGGCAGGTTTTCTCCGAGTACTTCAGTTTCCCCTTCCAATCTTCATTCCACTAATTGCTCCACAATCACCCTCACCTATCATCTGGGGCTGGTACAATAGACCAGAAGTGGCCGCAGTACAAGGGATTTAGCCCCACCCCACTAGCAATAAAAATAATTATGTAATTGCGCATTAATTGTACCGTATCGAATTTGAAGAATATGTGCCCAGCGAATTTAAACTATGTTACAGACGGACAGATTGGCTGACATGACTCTACATAGGGAAGGCATGGCCGCGCCATAGCTCAAGAGGTTAGCCGCTGGCTTCTTACCGTGGCGGCCCGGGGTCGATCCCGGGTCTGGTCAAGTGGGATTTGTGGTGGACAGTGTGGAGCTGGGGCAGGTTTTCTCCGAGTACTTCAGTTTCCCCTTCCAATCTTCATTCCACTAATTGCTCCACAATCACCCTCACCTATCATCTGGGGCTGGTACAATAGACCAGAAGTGGCCGCAGTACAAGGGATTTAGCCCCACCCCACTAGCAATAAAAATAATTATGTAATTGCGCATTAATTGTTCCGTATCGAATTTGAAGAATATGTGCCCAGCGAATTTAAACTATGTCACAGACGGACAGATTGGCTGACATGACTCTACATAGGGAAGGCATGGCCGCGCCATAGCTCAAGAGGTTAGCCGCTGGCTTCTTACCGTGGCGGCCCGGGTTCGATCCCGGGTCTGGTCAAGTGGGATTTGTGGTGGACAGTTTGGAGCTGGGGCAGGTTTTCTCCGAGTACTTCAGTTTCCCCTTCCAATCTTCATTCCACTAATTGTTCCACAATCACCCTCACCTATCATCTGGGGCTGGTACAATAGACCAGAAGTGGCCGCAGTACAAGGGATTTAGCCCCACCCCACTAGCAATAAAAATAATTATGTAATTGCGCATTAATTGTACCGTATCGAATTTGAAGAATATGTGCCCAGCGACTTTTAAACTATGTCACAGACGGACAGATTGGCTGGCATGACTCTACATAGGGAAGGCATCCCTTTGTATGTTGTAGGGAGTACATAAACTGAGATGGAATATGAAATTAAGAGAAGAATACATTTGGCAACTCTGTATTACTCAGATACTTATATGTCGTCTGCTTTCCGACAGGCCGTGGAACAGCACGGTCTGAGTCGTTATTTAATCCGTTGTGTTCCTTAACTTCGATACTAGTATATCAAGTCCCTTGTACTGCGGCCACTTCTGGTCTATTGTACCAGCCCCAGATGATAGGTGAGGGTGATTGTGCAGCAATTGGTGGAATGAAGATTGACAGGGGAAAACGAAGTACCGCCCTAGCGCCACTTTGTCCACCACAAATCCCACTTGACAGACCCGGGATCGAACCCGGGCCGCCGCGGTGGGAAGCCAACACTAACCGTTTGAGCTATGGCGAGGCCGACTATATCCAGGAGGAATCTTACGTTAATGGTAGGGAACTTAAGATCGAGATTAAGATGTAAATTTAATTCCGCAGATGCTGAAGATGATTCGAGAATGGGAAAATAATTATTCTTCGTTAAAACACGTTTTTAACTGTACGAGTATATGACGATTATGAATGATGGGGTGTGAGTTATGTAGCTGGATGTTGTAGCGTTTTCTAACGTATGCTGACGATTATTGGCATTTGGAGCTGTTTACTGTCCCACAGTGCATACCTTCTTTGGTTTGTGAGACCAGTTCTTTGTGCACTCTTTATTTCACAGTAACAGTACGGATTACAATACTGTGCTCGCTCTTCCTACATCGACTGAGCTACATTGCACTTGTTGCCGCTCATCTGCTCTGCGCTGAGAACTGACTGGCTACTCACTGACTGACTAATTGAACTTAGGCTGGGGCTACACGAGCGCATTAAATGCGTCCGTTGTAACGAACGTACTTTATGACGGACGTTGATGAGGACACCACACAGGTGCAGAATGCGGTGCATTATTTTTTTTTGTCTGCAATGGAGCCAGAAGAAAGCGTAGCATTCGCCTCTCTTGTTTATTTCTACAACGGACGCATTTTGTGCGCTCGTGTGGTCCCAGCCTTAACACTGAAAAAATCAGCATCACCGCCGTTTGTCTTCCCTGTTCAGCTGCACTGAGAACTGACTCACTAACTCGCTGATTCATGGAGAGGTAATGCACTGACTAACTAAACACTGACTCACTAACCACTTGTTACCATATGCGGCACTCAATTGTGCTGAGCTGGGCCCGCGTCAGAACTTAACAGAAACTTCTATAGTTGTGACAACCACTGGGAAGTTTCTGTCGAGTTTGCGTTCGACCTCGGCCTTCGTTCTCAACTGAGAGGCCTCCCGCACAATTCGGATGGTGTAAGAGGCGCGTTCAGGTCGGATGACTCGATCCGCCCGCTCTCATTTCCCATGTCTATACCAGATTTTGCACAGACTGAAGAAAACATGAATGTTCTGACGGGATATCCAGCATCTGAACCGAGAATCGAGCCAGGAATCTTCCAGATACGAAGTGGAACTATTTTCATTTTACCATGTCATCGGCCAGAGATTATAATCCGATACGTCATGATTACGAAGCAAAACTGACAACCGTTACATTGCTACTTTCGGTGTGTCACTCTACTGAACATGTTCGTTTCCTCGTGTTCTTGCAAGATATATATATATATATTTTTTTTTTTC